ATATAATTCAGGGCCAAGACCCTAAAACCCTAACCAGTAGGGAGTGGGGTAGTCAAAGGAGGGCGGCCATACCAGGAGCAGACATGCGATGTAGGTACAAAGAAGCAGACGTGTAGTGCGTGTAATTGTCCGAGCCCACACGACCGAGCAATGCGTGTAAATACAGATAGCGGACAATTAAGCAGAAGCGGGTGCCCATACCTTTAATGTCGGGCGCAATCTTGAACAGCAGTGGATATCGCCCCAAATTGTTCAGCGTCTCGGCCTGTGCGCAGCACGAGACCTACACACGGGAGAACAACCACGGAGCTTAAGATGTCATTGGTGAGACATTAAGAAAGAATGGCAGGCAATTACTGCACGATAGCTACGATGAGCTTGTTCTCTCACTGAAGACAAAACAAGAGCAGCAACTAATCTGTATGGAAGAACAACCATGGGCTTAAAAGGTCATTGGTGAGAAAATAAGAAAGAATGGCAGGCAATTACTATACGATAACTATGATGAGCTTGTTCTCTCACTGAAGACAAAACAAGAGCAGCAACAAATCTGTATGGAAGAACAACCATGGGCTTAAAAGGTCATTGGTGAGAAAATAAGAAAGAATGGCAGGCAATTACTATACGATAGCTATGATGAACTTGTTCTCTCACTGAAGACAAAACAAGAGCAGCAACAAATATGTATGGGAGGATACCGATGGGCTTAAAAGGTCATTGGTGAGAAAATAAGAAAGAATGGCAGGCAATTACTATACGATAACTATGATGAGCTTGTTCTCTCACTGAAGACAAAACAAGAGCAGCAACAAATCTGTATGGGAGGACACCGATGGGCTCAATTTGTCACTAGTGTGAAATATACCCAATTTCATCTCATAGAACGCCATGCCTCTGAGTCTTGAGTCCAAGTAATAACAGTGAGTCCATCATCGCTCGTACGCGATAATCATACACTATACTATATACCGTTCGTCACAAACTAACATGCCATATCACGTACTTAATACTACTAGCACATACACGCATGTCTTATTCCGAAACTCAGAAGACATATACAGAAAGACACACAGAAAGACACACCATAGCCGTGTTGAAGTAACTGATCGAATTGTACATGTTCCATGTGAGTTGGCTGTCGTCCGAGCCCTCGACCACTGCCGGGCTATATCTCATTTGCTGCACAGCATGTGCGCTATTAACTATCGCCTAGGGAAGATGATTTGTTATCGAGGAACGACGAGACAATTTAAGAGAAATATTATTATGGAATACTATATATGTATATATATATATATATATTTATACATGTATTTATGTATGTCTGTATGTATGTAT